AGTTGTAGAGCTTCTGTAGCAGTTGCATCACGTTTTCCCCCTCATTTTTATTTGATTCAGGCATTCCACCATATCCTTATGTTATTCCTCCTACGTAGGTGGTCCAGATCTTCAAATTTTGTCTGGATGTTTTGGATAGCAGACTTTTCAGTTATGAGGGATTTGTGAATAGAGTTCCACTATGAAACAGTAGTTTCCCTCTCCTCCTCTAGGGCCTGGACTCTATCACCCAGCTGCTGAGTTTCAGTATTAAGGGTAAGTAGTTTCTACCCAGAGTTGGTTTAACTAGCTTCTGTAACATACTTGTTATATCTACTTTGGGGGGCAGTTGCAGGAACAATGCTTGAGTTCCTCAATGGACACATCTGAGGCCGCTGGGAGGATGCTAAAATGTTTCTTGGGAACCATACTGGCATTTTATCCGGGCTGAAGGAGTCCATGGAAACCTCCTCAACAAGGCGTTTGTGAGAAGGATGATGCACAGGGGGTATTCCCCAAAGTGGAGCAACCGTTCTTGTTCGCCTTTGCGCTGCAATGGGCTCGGGAACCACTTGTTCTGCCCAGTTATCTATGGTGCTATGCAGTCATGCAACCATCTATGGAATCCATCAGGCCAAGCCTTTGTTCTCTGCTGTTCAACATAAAAGATACAATCGAGATGAAAGTGAGGTGTTTTTTCATTTTATTTTGATCTACCTTGCAGTGCAATGGAAAACAAAAACAACCAAGTATGCACAATGCACTAGTAGTAAAGGGGCAATGAGAGAAAAGAAAGGTCTGTAAAAAGACTAATAAAAGTCAGTGACTGATATTAATTAGCAGATGGTAGAAAGGTCAGTATACAATTATAAAAATATTGATAATGTAGCATCAATCTTAAATGCTACTAAGAAGCATGGACAAAAAGCTGACACAGATGGAAATGTGTATAAGCATGTCACTCATAACACAAAACCTGAACAACTAATTTGCCAACTGTAGGGCACATTAGCAGAATTAGCAATTAGCGAAAAGTTTTATTTAAATCAATTTGTAAAACTGATTGTTATCTTATCACAGCTTACTGCTTTATGAATATACTCCATCAATATTATTTTTGCCTTTGAGTTACTTTTATTCAGAAAACCATTATTTTTTTATACCCCCACCCAATGCGCATAAGGTTGCAGTGAGCGATCTTAGTACTGATGTCACTTTGATTCCTTTTATGTTTAATATTTCATTTATTTTAGTTATCATGTTAGTTAAACATCACAGAAGAGAGCACTATCTTTCTCTGCTCTCAATGGACAATGACATGGTTATCTTTTCTTATGGCACAAATACACTATCAGGCTACAACAGAAACCATTACTAGCAGTGCACCAGGGACGGGACAACTATAAGGTGACTGGCTTAATGCACACTGGCCCAGGGGCCAGAAGGAGGGAAGTGCACAGTACAGTCACTCAATGCGAACAGTGGTGGAGGAGTGGTGGAGCAGCTTCTGTATTCTCTACCCAGTCTGGCAGGAAGCTGTTCATTGAGAGCTACTTACAGCTTACAGTCACACAATGGTAGAGGATACAGAAGATCCTCTACTGTGGTTTGCATGGCCATGCTACAAGGAAGGTGGTAAACAGGCACAGGAGGGGAGAAGGGGGGACCATAAAAGGATGGGTTTGGGGGAGTGGAAGAGGCCACAAAGGGACTTTGGAGGGAGGAAATAAAAAGACACACAAAAGGGGCTAAGAAATGTGGAAAAGAGACACAGAGCTATAGGGGGTAGTAATAGACAAGAGGGAAGAGCCACACATAAAAGCTAAGGGAAAGTGAAAGAGACACGCAAAGGTCCTGGGGGTGGAGAAAGAGACACACATTGGGGCTGAGGAAGGAGAAAGAAACACATAGAGATGCATAGGGGGGCTGTGGGGAAAGATGGACACCCAAAGAAGATTGAAGAAGTGAGAGAGACACAGAGCTGGGGAAGTAAAAGATACAAAAGGACTGGAGGGAAGTAAAAGACATACAAAGTGGCTAGGAGCATCTTAAGAAACACACAAAGGGGGTGTAAGACACACAAAGGAAAAAATGGGGGATTAGACACAAAAAGTAGATACATAAAAAAGTGTTACCTATTCCCTCTTTTGAATATATGACAAACAAAGAAGTGGATAGATAACACAAGAGGGTTAAAATGGGGGTTCAGTGACAAACAGGTAAAGATTTGTTTTTTTTGGGGGGGGGCGGGAGGCTTCAAAATGCATCTTCACTTGTTTGTCACTTACCCCCCCTTAACACTTTTGAGTTACCTATTCCCTTTTTTTAAAGTCTTACCCCCTTACCCCCTAATCCAAAATCCTTGCACCAGCCCTGGTAATGCATCCACACCTAAAACCACAAATCATAGAATATAGAGTTGTGGTTTCAATTATTTCTGCTGGATTTTTCCATCTGCCCATTGGCTATTTTCATCTGTCAACGCAACTTAAATACACTAGCTTAAAAAAATCAATTTTGGCATGATTGTAGTGTGATGGCAGTTGTTTTTTTTGTTTTTTTTGTAAAGCCATTTAGAAAATCCCATTAGATACATTTTCTTATGATTAAATCACTTTCATCTTTATCTATGAAACATATAGCATTTTCAATTTCCAAGTCTCAAATGAGTGATATTCTAAGGGCAAATTACTCGAGCAGGATTATGCACTGAAGTGAGAATTATTTTAATTTCAAATTTAATTCAGAGTGAATTTCAAATTTAAGACCAAAATAGTTGAAGTAGAAAAACCTTATCCAAGTCAATTATGTTTCTAAATTGGCTACTTTGGCTTTACATTTGAAAATCACTTTGAATTCACTTTGAAATTCCAACAATTCTCATTTCAGTGCATACGTTTGTATAAGAAACAATCACAATGAAACCCAATTAAATATTAATGAACATTTAGCTCTTTGCACCTAGAATAGAGACTGTTTTGTCTTGATATAATTGCAACCAACAGATGCAAATTTGAAATGAGTTATATCAATGTTGTTATTGCAAACAAAGTCAAGTAACATAGCTTACATCAGAATCAACAATTTGTTCCTTCCAGGGAGTATAACAATGAACTAGTCTTTCAATAACTGACATCTTTACGAAAAAAAACCCCCAAAACTCTGTTGTTTAGCTAATAATGCGTTCTTAAATTTTAACTCTCCCCACTTAATTCACCAAAGAACACATTGGCGGGGCTCTCTGTATGTCTGTCCTAAACAAGCTGACTGATACAAACATTAGGAAATGTACTGAACTTGTAGCTCCACTTAAATGATTCCCTATATATATATAATTCTTTTACTAGACTGACATGCTCCTTCACTTTACACAATCCATCATATATTAAGATGTAAAAATTAAGAGAAGTGTATTTTAATCCAGATACAACATTGGACCGATTATGGGATATTAAAAAATATATTATCATAAAAAAATGTGCTGAGCTTTCATTGCAAGAATTTTACTAGTAGTGCTTCAAGTGTAATTTTCATAGTCTCACATATGTATGCTACAAGCCATCAATATATCTTTTTAATGACAGTTACAAAGATTGATTCAGTCAAGGATATTTTTTTTCTGTCGAGTTATAAAAAAATGTAATTGGCTCATAATTTTCCTCTTGAAGAAAAATCTTTAATTACATTGGGGCAATATAATGGGATTTATATATACATTGTAATTATGTACTAGTAAAAATAAATTGCTTTTTGCCAAAATTAAGTTGCAACTCTGAAATACTTCTGTAGTATTAGACATATGAACTTTGTAAGTAAGATTTAAGGAAGTACAGACTGTGTTTAGAAATTTAAATAAATGGTGTACTTTCATAGTTTATTTCACTCTTTTGATTAACGCATGCCTTTCATGTTTAGAAGCGCACAAAACAGAAAACTTCATTTTGTAATTTTATTTTAATTGCTTTCATGTGAAACTTCCATGACTATGTTAACCTTCAATAGCAGAAACTGCGCAATAAAAAAAGATCAAGCACTATTTATTTCAGAGAATATTTTCTATCAGTTCAAAACCGTTTTGACTCTAAATACTATTAACTCATTGTTGTTGATATGGCATGTGGTAAAAAAGAAAATGAGATCAGTCAATCCAGTACTCAAAATCCATTATCTACAAGGGGTCTTTGGTTTGAGAAACAGGGATTAGTACTAATGCATTTATGGTTCACTTGTCATACAAGAAAAAATATTGAATTTATTCAATGATCACTGAGTTGATCATGAAGTTGAAAATTTAGTGCAAAAAGTGTAGCTGAAAAAAGTTAAATCAAGTACACAGTAAATGTTTGATTTATGTTTGATCTACTTTGGATAGTTCTGTGGTGCCAGAACAGAACATACCTTATTATCTTTAATATCTATGGCAGGTTGATTAATGGTTTCTAACCCTTTTCTAGATACAGTGCATATCCAAATGTGGAACAGAATAGCAGGTGGAGGTTGGTTACATGATTTACTTAATTTCACAGAACATAGTGGACCCTTGTCAGTCCGTGAAACTGACCTAGCACTCTAAGCAGCAGCAAAATTAGGTTGGAGCTCTCTGATAAGATCCCAACTCATTAGGCTGTTTCATTAACACTTCCCCTATTTCTGCTGATGGACATTTGTATTAATCTAGTATAAAACAGTTGGGAAATGATAAGGTTCTATATACTTTTCAAATATGCTTTTTTTTATATATATATTTGTTTGGCACCACCCTTTGTGATGACCAACATGTATTTGCTGCTGCTGTTACTACTACGTAACCCCTTAAGGACCAAACATCTGGAATAAAAGGTAATCATGACATGTCACACATGTCATGTGTCCTTAAGGGGTTAATATGGATTTATTATCCTATGCCAGCACGATGCACACTGCACACCGAATGATCATATACTGTGGTCTATGTTGAGTTAAGGACTACCAGCTTTTACTTTATTTTTCTGTACTCTAAACCATTCAGAGCAGGGCCGTCTATAATATGATTAGGACCCTGGGCAATGCATTTTCTTGGGCCCCATGGGCCCTGTCCCTGCCACTGCCTCACCCCCCAATTACGTCCAACCCGCAATCACACTGACAGACGTACTGGCACATACACACACAGACAGACGTTAAAACATTCACAGATACATACTGACACACACAGTCACTACACACAAATATATACTGGCAGACATACTGACACACACACAGACATACATACATACATACATACATACACACACAGACACATACATTAACAGATATACTGACACACACACAAACACATACACTGACAGATATACTAAAACACATAGACACATACACTGACAGACACATTGACACACACACAGGCATACTGACATATACACACAGGCATACTGACATATACACAGACAGACGTAATGGCTGATACAGACAGACATTAAACATTCACAGATATATACTGACACACACATACACTGACATACAAATATATCCTGGCAGACATACTGACACACACACACAGACATACATACATACACACACAGACACATACACTGACAGACATACTGACTGACACACACATACACACACATACTTACATACACACATAGACATACTGACACACAAAGACATGCTGACACACACACACAGACATACTGACATACACACAGACAGACTGGCACATACACACAGACAGACATTAAAACATTCACAGATACATACTGACACACACATACACTGACACACACATATATCCTGGCAGACATACTGACACACACGTACACACACACACAGAGACATACCTACATACACACACACAGACATACTGGCATACACACAGACATACTGACACACACACACACACTGACATACACACAGACTTACTGGCATACACACAGACATACTGACACACACACACACACACACTGACATACACACACAGACATACTGGCATACACACAGACATACTGACACAGACAGACATACTGGCATACACACAGACATACTGACACACACACACACACACACACTGACATACACACACAGACATACTGGCATACACACAGACATGCTGACACACACACACACACACTGACATACACACACAGACATACTGACACACACACACACAGACACACACACACAGACATACTGGCATACACACAGACATACTGGCATACACACACACACATACTGACACACACACATACACACACAAACATACTGGCATACACACAGACATACTGACACACACACAGACACACACACTGACATACACACACAGACATACTGACACACACACACACACTGACACACACACACAGACATACACACACACACACACACACACACACAGACCTACTGACATACATTTAGCCACCCTCCAGGTTCTTACCTTTTCCTGGAGGGTGGTTTCCCTGGTCCAGTGGCAGGCTGAGGCAGATGGGAGTTCTCTTCTGGAACTCCCCTCCTCCCTGCCTTCCTCCTCCCGCGCGGCTATCTCCGGTGGGAGGAAGTGACGTCACTTCCTCCCAGCCGGCTGCAGAACCGGAAGAGGGGCCCGGTCGCGCTGTTTAAGCGCCACAGCGCCCGACCGGGCCCCTGATGACACATGCTCCCCGGGTGGCCCTTAGTGCATGGGCCACCCGGGGAGCCTCCTCAGTGTGCGGCAGCCGCACCGCAGGGCCTGCGCAAATCGCGGGGCCCACAGAGCAGCTGCTCTGGGCCCCCAGGAGCAAATGGGCCCGGGGCAGCTGCCCCGTTTGCCCCGCGTTAAAGACGGCCCTGATTCAGAGAACTGTGGATCACTCTCAAACTCACATAAGAGACATGTCTGGGATATAAAGTATTCTGAGAATCAGATAGTTTTTAAATTGTTGCAGATAGATGCTCAAAAAGGCTAAACGGGCAAAATTAGGGATCCAAACTAACTATATATATATATATATATATATATATATATATATATATATATACATACATACATACACACTCTGATTAATACAATAAATAAATGTAGTAGTTGCAAAACCACTTATAATTTAAATGACCTTTTATACCACCAACAAAAGTATGGCATACATCAAAACGTAGTACTTTCTGATAACGACAGATGTTCCTTTTCCAGAGTGCCTACATAGGCAAGTAACATTTTGTTAATTATCCAACCAAACACTAAATACCAAATACTAAATCAACAAAAGTAAGAAAAAAATCTCCTTTTGTCCCTTCTAGGTTCTAAATAATCAACAAATTCAATTTTTAATCACTTGAAATTCAATCTGGATTTTAAGAGGATGTATCACTTATGGGTCATTAGCGCAATCCAGCAGTTAAATAAAAGGAAACAATTTACTGTGCTATTTTTATTTTTTTAATATAAAAAAGTTTTATTTGCAGTATTTGCAATACTGCCAAAGATCCTCTTGGCACGTAAAAGAAATCCTTATGTATGCGATGCCATGATGACATGTGAGCATGTACGCCACCATGGAAGGAATACCTGAATGTGCAAGAACTTGTATAATCAAATGTTTAGAAAACATAAGCTGTTGCATCCTGATCGGCACAAACTTAATTATGATGCCGTTTAAAATCCTATTACTCACTTTTAAGAATTATTAAAAAATGTTTTAACTTAATGCAGTGGTGCTGGTGTATAGACCATGCCCCTGCAGTCTCACTGCTCAATTATCTGCCATTAAGGAGTTAAATTCCTTTGTCTATTCAGCCCTAGCTACATCTCCTTGCATGTGACCTAGACATTCACCATACACATAAATGTCCTGTAAATAGACATGTAATGTTTACATTTCCTTTATCGCACAGTCCTTTTAATATAAAATGTCTTATCTTCTGCTCTATTTATAGCCTATTAGAACTTGTATGAGCCTCCTGTGTATGATGAATGTTCAATTTACAGTTCAGGAGATAAACACTCTTACATTAAACATACTGTGCTGCAAAATCTGATTAAAAATTCAATAATTTTTTCATGGAGGCTGCATGAGTCACAGACAGGGAAGGTATGGCTAGGTTTGTATAAACAGAAACAAAGGCAATTTAACTCCTAAATGACAGAGAACTGAGCAGTGAGGCTACAGGGGCATGATCTATTTAAGTGTCACAAAGATTAAATATTTAGTTTTTCAGGTTAACTCATGGATGGCATTGTGTCTCGGGGCTCTTTTGATCACCGAAAACAATCTTGGACACCTGTGATAATTAGATTGACAGGTAAGCCCAATTTAAGGAAAAACTACTAAAGGAGGGTGTTCCACATTATTAAGCAGGTCGCCATTTTCATGCAATATGGGGAAGAAAGAGGGTCTCTCTGCTGCCAAAAAGAGTGAAATAGTTCAATGCCTTGGACGAGGTATGAAAACATTAGATATTTCACGAAAACTTAAGCGTGTTCATCGCACTATTAAGAGATTTGTGGCTGATTCAGAGCACAGACGGGTTTGTGGAGATAAAGGCACATTGAGGAAGATTTCTGCCAGATCCATGCATCGGATCAAGAAAGCAGCGGCTAAAATACCATTACATATCAGCAAACATATATTTGAAGCTGCTGGTGCCTCTGGAGTCCCATGGACATCAAGGTGTAGAGTCCTCCAGAGCCTTGCAACTGTGCATAAACCTTTGATTCGACCACCACTAACCAATGCTCACAAATAGAAACGGCTGCATTGGGCAGAAAAATACATGAAGACTAATTTTCAAACAGTCCTGTTCACTAATGAGTGCCATGCAACCCTGGATGGTCTAGATGGATGGAGTAGTGGATGGTTGGTGGACGGCCACCCTGTTCCAACAAGGCTGCGACATCAGCAAGGCGGTGGTGGAGTCCTGTTTTGGGCCGGAATCATGGAAAGAGAGCTGGTCGGACCCTTTAGGGTCTCCGAAGAATAATTCTGCATCAATGGATGCTATGGGGATAAAAGGAGAGAAAGTCATGGTGTGGCCTCCATTCTCCCCTGACCTCAATCCTATTGAGAACTTTTGGAGCATCCTCAAGCAAAAGATCTATGAGGGTGGGAAGCAGTTTACATCCAAACAGCAGGTCAGGGAGGCTATTCTGACATCTTCCAAACAAATTCAAGCAGAAACTGTCCAAAAACCCACAAGTTCAATGGATGCAAGACTTATGAAGCTGCTATCAAATAAGGGGTCCTATGTTTAAATGTAACGTGACCTGTTAAAATGTTTAAAAAGTTAAAATGTTGTTATAAGTTTGATTGAAATAGCTTTTGATTTCAGTAAATATGTTGCAAACACAACAAATGACAATTTTCAGTTCTTTACAACCTATAAAGTGTTTTGAAACTTACTGTGCGTAATAATTTGGAACAGTGTATTGTAAGTTTTATATGTTTAAAAAAAATACTGTTATCATTAGGAGGTTTGTTCAATAAAATTTGAATTGTACTCTTAATAGTTGATAACATGAGAATTATGCTGACTGTTATTTACATCAATTATTTAGGTAAATGAGAAAAATATAATTTGCATAATAATTTGGAACAGGCTGTACACCAAAATTGCTTCAGTAAGCTAAAGTTTTTTTTTTTTCCATTGATATCCCTTTAAAACTCTTCATAACTGTGCTTCAATGTAAATATTATTACTAAACCAAATACACCCAATCATGACCATTTTGCTCTGCCAACAACTTGTATTTGTATCTTCCTCCTCCCCCCTTTCCCAACCATGGTGGACCAGGCAGGCCATGAGGACCACACATGTTTGAGGGCAGCCTGTCACAGCACTGTTGCATGTTATTTTTTTGTATGCCCACTATTCCTAACAGTATGTGAGGACTGCATAATTCCTCTTCCATCCCTGAGGAGATTCAGGTGTTGTGTTCTGCCTTCAGCTTATCCCCCCCCCTTCCCAGTGGACTAGGCTGGGTTGGCAGGGGTGGGTGATGGACGGATGACCGTGAAGACCACAGGTACACGGGACAACATAATGTATATGGAATTGTACTGATTCAATGTACTCATCTGTTTATCTGTCATGATCATTCGCTTTGGCCACCATCTGTGAAAGAAGCAACCAGACACGTATATTGGCAGAAATCTTTTGTGTAGACAAAGTTCCTGTTACTGAGGTCACTGCTTTCACTCTTGTTCTTCTTTTCCACTTAATCTACTCTTCTTCGGTTGTTGTTGCTGATACTGGATTTCCTATTCCAGACTCCAATTACATTCTCTTTATTTTCTGTTTTCTCTAATTCCTATTCCCTTCCGC